TGCTAGGTGTCATCATAATTCATGTTGCATAGGAATCTATGGATGACACCTAAGCTATAAAGTTACCATGGATGAAAAGAAGGCCCATCATCATATGAGGGTTATTGAAAGGCAGAGAAAGTGGAGAACTTTTTGATTGGTTTCAGAGAAAATATATGGAGGAGAGAAAGTGGGGAAGTTTTGTTTGGATTACTGGAAATCTTCGAATTCGGAAATTGGGAAAAGGAGAAAATTTGCGGAGGAATTGGGGAAGAGAATGACATCAGAGGCCCGTCTAACGGCTAGTTTAGAGGTTCCAGAATTTAGAATGTGAAAAATATATATAAGCCCCTCAACTTTTTGACTATGGGCAATTGGACTCTTTTTTTTTTTGGAGAAAATCTAACCCTCAAACTTATGCAAACTATAAAGGCAGCTTGTATGGTCTTTTGACTTGGATACTTTTTTGCTGGGTTTTTTGAACTTATTTTGGGTTGCAAAAATGGGATCGATTGGTTATGAATTGATGATGGGATGGCTTCTTCTTCTTCTTTTTGAGAGATGGTCAGATGAAAAAGTGTTTGGAGGACACAAGGCAAGCCTTGTGATTAAAGAAGTGAGGGAAACGATAGAGTAGGGAACAGTATACAATGATATTGGTGCTCTTTAGTACAAACTGTATTCTTTTATATAATTTAAATATTAAAATTATCAAAATATTATTAATAAATATACATGGAGAGGAATTTTATTAAAGCTGTTTTGGTCATTTCAACAGCCGAATTATACTTAATCAACACTAAAAAAAAAAAAAGGGACCAATGTGTATAGGCTTAGAGACAGAGGCCTGTTTGCCCTGGCGCTTGATATGATGCTTAAGAGAAAGTTGGAGGCCAATCCAAAGAGTCAGAGTAGGATTACTCTGTTTCTGCTAGTCTTTACCCCATTGTGGATTTCAAATTCTAATCTTGAGTTAGGTGAGGAAAAGTTTGAAAAGAAGAGAACCATCCATTACATCAATATGTGGTTGATTCTAGTTTATGTATCTAAAAGCATAAAGTTCAACGCATCTTCTCCTAGTCCTATCCCTTCCTTCCATCAATGAGCACAATCCATTAGCAGAGAGAACTAACACATCCTCCCAAGGGCCAACTAGGAGGATTATTTCATCTAGTTATAGAAGCTTACTTCAGCCCTTCTCATCAAACACAGTAGTAAGAAAGAAAAACTTGACATACAACTGCTTAAAAATTGACATGATTCCATAATTTTCAACATAAAACAACTTTTCATTTTTATTGGAATCATGTACTTCATAGAACTCTGAATTCGCATGGCCATTTCTGTTCATTCTCATCCTACCGCAATTGGAGCAATAAGAACACAACAGGCCTTGCTACATGTACTCATTCCTAAAGCTGAAAATAAACAGGTGGTAGAGAGGGGGCACCCACCAGTAAGGCTTACAAATACTCCTTCCAGGCCCCCACAGCATGCCTACCATCACAAGCATAAGGAAGAAGAGGGACTAGATTCATTAAAGCACCTACTGATCTAGCAACTGCCGTCCAAGAGTTTCTTGAATATTCACAGGTCCACAACAGAACCAATGGCTATTGAACAAACATTTAAATTCAGTCAAATTACTTACAGCCAGAACCCTCAATCAACTAGGAGCTCTTCTTAAATGACATGTGGAACTAGACACAAAACACCGCTAACAAACATCTAGTAAACCTAAGAATCATCTAACCACAGCAAAATTGAATTTTCCATATCACCAGGTTTCCTATCTTAAACAAGGGGTACCTCAGGCATCTATCAATTATCAAATATCAGCACACTTGGAGGTTCAATTTTATTACAAGATTTTACTTCTAAGGCCTAATAAACAACACATTCTATGTCTTTTAACAATGTGAAACCATGGTAATTTTTTTTTTCCACGAATCCTACCGATTCTCAAGACCTTTAAAATAAGTTGTTCTAGACAATGGCGATACCACGTCTAAGTACCAAATATTAAGCTAAAGAGACATTAAAAAACAATACTGAACTCAAACACCACATTATTGCACATAATGATCAATATTTGAACTCCCACATGAATATCAAAATAGCATAAAATGGAATTACCACATGGATTAAGATCTCGTGAAGACAAGTGTCTTATGCCACTTTGAAAGTAGAAAAGATCCAAGTAAGACATCATTACATTTGTCGTCAACATCCTTCAAGTTTAAGGAAAAAGCTGGTATTGTAAACAACAGAATGATGACAGGTCCAGCTTAGTCCAACTTTTAAGTTTAAAAAAATGGACCAATAGACCAAGAACTCTAATGCAGACTCACATTGCAGGAATTGTCTTGACAATAATGTCTTGTAGAAAGAAAACTTGATAAACTTCTACACTTCAAAGACAAAAGACCTATTCTGTGATCAGGAGTAAAAGAAATCATAGTCCAAAACCAAATACTGCCCGTATCTTATGGAAAATAAGATCCCTCCATCCTCTCTCGGTGTTCTCCACCACAGTTGCATTCCCATATCTGCATCAAGTATCCAGCATGAATCAACATTAATTAGCCAATGCAATCTAAACCAACTAATCAGATAACAAACCTGATATAAAAGAAACAAATGAATATCAAATAAAACCAAATGGCTAGAGACAAACCTGTCCTCTTCAGGAACATCAGTATGTGTCAGCTTGACAATGGTAACACCAGACTCAGGCTCATCAAAAGTGAGTCTTACCTGCAACAATCAACAAATGTATCATTCAATTAATCTCGAAATCAATCTCAAAAAAGGAAACATAAACAACAAATTTAGCTTCAAACCAATAATAAAAAATCAACAAACTTACAGTTGAGTCAATCCCATCAGGCCAGCTCCCAAACCTCCACTTTTGCACAATCAATTTCCCATCTTGCAACTCCAAGTTTGTTCCTGTTACTGATCCATCAAAAATCATAAATTGTCCACCAACATCCTTGCTAATCCTTGCATTACTCTGTGTAAATCCTTTCCACCTATTCTCATCCATCAGTATCTCATACAAATCCTTTGCTCGGCAACTAAACTTCTCTGTCATGGTAATCGTCTTAACCCCCTTCTTCCCCTCCTTTTTGACCTCCTTCTTCACCTCTTTCTCCACCACTACCTCACTATTTGAAGGAGTTCCCCCACCTTGACCATTCCCATTCTTTGGCGCCACCTTTTTGGCCTCCAAATCATCCTTTGCAGGCCCTCCTTTGGCCATGGCAGTAACAAACTCTCTTACCTTCAGAAAAATCAAGGGCTTACCTTTGGCAACCATGGCCTCTTTGAGCCGTTTCCCAATAGGGCCCTCGTCCTTAACAGTCACCCTTAGTTCCGGATCTTCATCTGCATTCTCATCCGCAATATACGGCATCTCCACCGTCCCCTCGACCATCAGCAAGCTCTTGCCCTCTGCATCCTTAGCCTCACCCTCCCAAGACAAAACCACATTGATCTCATACCCAGGAATGATCTTTCCCTTACGAACATTAACATAAGCTTCACCCTCAACCTTGTCCACCTTCTTGATCTTGATATAGAGGTTACCTTCGCCGTCGAGAATGGTGAGATTAGATAGTGATTTATTGAAGAAATTTCGAGACCATGGAAGGCAGTCAGTCTCTGCCCAGTGCCAATTGTGGACGTTGGCACCATCGGCTCTGTCCTCAACGATCCACCGCTTATCGCCTTCGCCGTACTTCGCCATCGGACGGTGGTGATTCAGACGCCGATTATCAAGGACAGAGAAATACAAGGATTGCTGGTTCTTGCGAGGGGATTCGCTAGCTCTTAGGTTGCCGGCTGTGGAAGAGTGTAGAATGTGGGAGTCCCAGAAGAATTGGGGAAGATAATGTAATGTCTTGGAAGAATCTAGAAA